GGCGTTAGATTCCGCATCTTCCTCACCTTGATGTTAACCGACATACTGCACCGTGACGCACCAACCCCAACCACCGTGACTATTACGGGCGAGCTTCGTACTGTTCTATGCGCTGTTTCGTTCTGTGTGCAAGTCACGTCGACATATTCCAGCCAATAGAAAACGCCGTAATATTAGAGGTGTGGCTTAAACTACAGGGAGCCCAGGAACTATAATCAACTGTAATACAGTACGCAGTCTCTATGAGCGGGGGGGGGGGGTATCGGCTGGTATCTAGTGTAAGAAATAGACAAGGGATGAAGGCTCCACATCGAGGTCACGACTCGGTTAGCCTTGCTCAACTGGTTCGTAACCAGTCTTGTGATTGGTTGTTGACAAATGCTGAACAGGCCACGCCTCCAACGGTGTCGTGCGTTCGGACTAACCGTTAGGGATTCCTAAATGGAGTCAATTTGTGTAGCGTTCTTGATTTATTCTGCAGATATCGGTAAAATGTAGGTAAGGCTTTGGCGAAATTCGAAGGAGCAACTAATATTCTTCAACCTGGTATTATTTTTTAGATTTTATGGGCTTCCTGCGCTTAAACAACATTCTACTAACTGTTCACCCAATGTAGATGACTCTAAATCAATCGTTTAACCAATTAGACTTTTTCAGTTTTCACTAGCTGGCTTGGGGCTCTGTCCGCTTCCTCCTGCCGAGAATGTTTCCACGTCGAAGGGCCGGATATGACAATGCTACTTTGTATCAAATCTCGCAGGTTGGGTTTGTTGTTTATCTTGAAAACAGGTCAAGACCCAGATGAAATAAAGAATTTTGCCTCCAATATTCCAATTTTCAATTTGTCGTAGTACGCCCTCAGTCCAATTGAATACATTAAGCTCGTATTTTGAAAGTTTAACTGTTATAATGAGAATAAAATAATGAATGGCCACCGTGACAGTATGTAGGGCAGACGTAGGGGTAATTTAAAATGGAATAAAACCGCTGTGGCTTTATTGCTTGAATCATTAAATATGGATATTTTTCATAGTCTAAGTGTAAATTTCTAAGATGAAACATACTGTTTTGCCATAATTCCATCTTGTTTATTTGATATACACAAAAATTGTCACGGATTCTGGAGTACTGTATTATTGTGTCCCATAATGTGTCGGCTTTTTTTTTCATTTTTCACGTTTTTAGTTTCCAATCTCGCGCATTGTGTTATTTGTTTATTAAAATGTTCAACCAAATCGACATAAAATATAAATATCGAAAGTGTATATGACCAGAAGCTGCTATTATACGCATAGACTAGTATATAGAAGAAGAAATATTTGCACTCGAGTCACGTGAATGCATAGTTTGCACAAAACTTCTTAGTTTACGGGCTGTTATTGCCCACATGTTCGTACCACGTCATTGGTGGATACTGGCAGAGGAAGTCCGGTCGAAACTATTAAACAACTGACAATTAGTTACAAGTTATTCGTTTTTTGAATGTGGATGCCAACCTACCAGTAAAATGAACAAATTTCGACGTAGAGGGCCAAACAAAATAGATGGCATATTATGCTAATAATACTAATTAGCATAATGTTAGTATTTTCTAAGACTATTTTAAAATGCAAAAAAATGAATCCATTCAAAAAAAAAACAGAAAAAGGATGTAAAAAATCTGAGACGACCACGACGGGACTCGAACCCGCAATCTTCTGATTACAACGTGAGTAACTTCGAAGTCAGACGCCTTATCCATTAGGCCACGCGGTCAATACAATTCCAACATTCAAAATATGATAATAGAATCCAATACTAACTTCATTAATGAAATAATGTCATTCGGATGAATTGATTTATGGGGGAGAAAACTCCCAACAATCACTGGTCTTAGCGGTAATGCACTTCATTTCCAAGGGCTTGATTATTTTTTCTATTTAATTTTAAATGGATGAAAAGAACATTTTCGTCAATTGGAATACGTAAACACGAGACACAGAATGTTTTTTTTATATCAAAGTCGTATTCAAACGGAAATTCAAACAATGATAATGTCTTACAAATGACTAGTAATTTACGAGATTTATAAACGATTGGCACATAATTTATTTGTTTGTTTTTTTAATTACAATAACAACATTGTTGTTATAAGGGTTGTGAAGAGTAGCACTATTAACGACTTGGCTCGTCCTGTTGATTGGAATGTCACAGTGAACTTGGCTTCACTTCAAATGGAGACACACATACAATGTGTTGAAGTTCCCCCACAACATAATCCTGGTGATATACGTACACGTCTTGAATCTTTATGTATATTAACTAAATCCCGCAAAACTGTAGTATAGTCCTGCAAGCACAGCAAGTAATATCACTGAAACCAGCATAGTTTTCCTGTTTTCGGCTCTTAGTAATTTCACGTCTTTTTCTGCAAAGATAATATTCAATTCATATTTAGTGTTTATTTTACTTCACTCTATTGAATGACATACCATTACTGGAAGGATTTGATTGGCAAGTACTAGCAGTAACTTTACCATTTTACTAATAGTACTTCATATTGCCAGTGTCTTGAATACAGAACCCAGTGCACGAATAACAAAGCAATATCTCACCGCTTTCAGCGATCAATTTTGTCAAATTTTCTTCCTCATTCAGCAAATCATCTCTGCAAAATAAATTATAGATTGAAATCAAACAACTTGAAGTGTAGGTATTATGGAGTTTAGATGTCCCTTGTTTCGCTGTCTTGGGTCTTGGTGAGAATAAGTGTAATTCCGAATTTCATAGCAGAAATTTGTTTTTAAGTTCTAAGCCACGTTTTTCAGCAAAGAGAATACTCATTGTGGATAATGCGGGAATACACAGCAAATCATCGACACAACTTCGTACTACTGTACGTGTATATGTTTATTCTATTTTTAGTTGTGAAAACCCTTACGCATTCCACAGAGGGACTTTAATGTTTACAAAATCAAATGAAAATAAAAAATAAAATAAAATAGAATGAAAAAACGTCCAATGGAACAAACACTTAGTTTAGTTCGGGGCTTGGTGAGGAGTAGGGAAGCTGTTTTTAATGAACCAATGAAATGTACCACTTATAAACAGTCTAATCACCACACATGGTGACCATGGATGCAAAGGCCATGGATGAAAGCCTGCACACATCATAGCATTACCTTCGTTTAACCGACAGTGAACCAGATCTCAAAGACTTCTCGACAGTGTCAAACCGATAACGAAAGCGTCTGAGATTATCCTCGAGCTGCTCGATCTAGAGAAAAATATATCTCATAAAGTTGAGGACGAAAGGTACTCTCATAAAATAGATCAGTATGTATACGCATATCTACGGAACTATCAAGATTTAACCGACATTCACTTACCTGAGAAATAATTGTTGGCATTTTAAAATAAATTAGAGGTCATGTCGTTACGGCTGCAGGATACACGGCACGGGACATATCACAAAGAAAAACAAAACAGTGTAAGCGAACGAACAGGCCAGCTGTTTTCGCCAACGTGTCTCTGGGTGGACCAAAGGTCGCTGCGCATGCTTCGTAGACTCACTTCGATCGTTAACGATTTCCGGGTTTTGTCTTCTGCTGCTGCTGCATACTCGCCATATACTGGCATTTTGAATCACACTAAAGGATGAATGCATTCACACGCGTTATTTACATAGTATTTGTTTATATCGTGGTGTTGGCTCCGTTCAAAGTGACGTCGTTTGATTGTGACACGCTGCCGACGCCCAAATCGTATGTAGCTTATCAGCTGAGACAAGGGGAATCCATACAAATTGATGGCAAACTAGACGATAAGGCATGGCTTGACGTGAAAACTACTGACGACTTTATTGGTAGGTATGCTTATGTAGAATGTCTCTCATTTGCCCACGTTTGTAAATCGTTACACACGACTAATAAGTAATGATGTAGGACATGTAACACATACCGAGTAATTTCATCGCTCGCCGTTGCCGTACCGCAGAAACACCCCGACCACAGATCAACGATAGACATAAAATGCAGTACAGCAAACTGCTATCACAGTGCATCCAACCATCGATCGTGTAATATACAAATGTAGTAAACTGGTATCACAGTGCATCCAGCCAGGGTACAATACAGTACACTGGCATCACAGTGCATCCAACCACTGTGCAGTACAGTAAACTGGTATCAAAGTGCATCCAACCACTGTGCAGTACAGTACACTGGTATCACAGTGCATCCACCCACTGTGCAGTACAGTAAACTGCTATCAAAGTGCATCCAACCACTGTGCAGTACAGTAAACTGGTATCAAAGTGCATCCAACCAGGGTACAATACAGTAAACTAGTACCACAGTGCACCCAATCATCGTACAATACAGTAAACTAGTATCAAAGTGCATCCAACCAGGGTACAATACAGTAAACTAGTACCACAGTGCACCCAATCATCATACAATACAGTAAACTAGTATCAAAGTGCATCCAACCAGGGTACAATACAGTAAACTAGTACCACAGTGCACCCAATCATCGTACAATACAGTAAACTAGTATCAAAGTGCACCTAACCAGGGTACAATGCAGTAAACTGGTATCACAGTGCACCCAACCAGGGTACAATACAGTAAACTAGTATCAAAGTGCATCCAACGTTCGTACAATACAGTAAACTGGTATCACAGTGCATCCAACCATCGTGCAGTACAGTAAACCGGCATCACAGTGTATCCAACCAACATGCAGTACAGTAAACTGGTATCACAGTGCATCCAACCATCGTGCAGTACAGTAAACTGGTATCACAGTGCATCCAACGATTGTACATTACAGTAAACCGGTATCACAGTGCATCCAACCATCGTGCAGTACAGTAAACTGGTATCACAGTGCATCCAACCATCGTGCAATAGAGTAAACTGGTTTACAGTGCATCCAACCATCGTGCAATGCAGTAAACTGGTTTGCAGTACATCCAACCATAGTGCAGTACAGTAAACTGGTTTACAGTGCATCCAACCATCGTGCAGTACAGTAAACTGGTATCACAGTGCATCCAACCATCGTGCAATACAGTAAACTGGTATCACAGTGCATCCAATGATCGTACATTACAGTAAACCGGCATCACAGTGCATCCAACCATCGTGCAGTACAGTAAACTGGTTTACAGTGCATCCAACCATCGTGCAGTACAGTGAACTGGTATCACAGTGCATCCAACCATCGTGCAATGCAGTAAACTGATATCATAGTGCATCCAACCATCGTGTAGTACAGTAAACTGGTTTACAGTGCATCCAACCATCGTGCAGTACTGTAAACTGGTTTACAGTGCATCCAACCATTGTGCAGTAAAGTAAACTGGTTTACAGTGCATCCAACCATCGTGCAGTAGAGTAAACTGGTTTACAGTGCATCCAACCATTGTGCAGTACAGTAAACTGGTTTACAGTGCATCCAACCATTGTGCAATACAGTAAACTGATATCACAGTGCATCCAACCATGGTACAATACAGTAAACTGATATCACAGTTCATCCAACCACTGTGCAGTACAGTAAACTGGTATCACAGTGCATCCAACAAGGGTACAATACAGTAAACTGGTATCACATTGTACCAAGCATTGTGCAGTACAGTAAACTGGTATCAGTCCATCCAGCCACTGTACAGTACAGTAAACTGGTATCACAGTGCATCCAACCATGGTGCAGTACAGTAAACTGGTATTACAGTGCACCCAACCATGGTGCAGTACAGTAAACTGGTATCACATTGCATTCAAACATCTTGCAGTACAGTAAATTGGTATCACAGTGCATCCAACCATTGTGCAGTACAGTATACTGGTTTCACAGTGCATTAAAACATCGTGCAGTACAGTAAACTGGTATCACAGTGCATCCAATGATCGTACATTACAGTAAACCGGTATCACAGTGCATCCAACCATCGTGCAGTAGAGTAAACTGATATCATAATGCATTCAACCATCGTGCAGTACAGTAAACTGTTTTACAGTGCATTAAAACATCGTGCAGTACAGTAAACTGGTATCACAGTGCATCCAACCATCGTGCAGTACAGTAAACTGGTATCACAGTGCATCCAACCATCGTGCAATGCAGTAAACTGATATCATAGTGCATCCAACCATCGTGCAGTACAGTAAACTGGTTTACAGTGCATCTAACCATCGTGCAGTACTGTAAACTGGTTTACAGTGCATCCAACCATTGTGCAGTACAGTAAACTGGTTTACAGTACATCCAACCATCGTGCAGTAGAGTAATCTGGTTTACAGTGCATCCAACCATCGTGCAGTACAGTAAACTGGTTTACAGTGCATCCAACCATCGTGCAATACAGTAAACTGATATCACAGTGCATCCAACCATCGTGCAGTAGAGTAGACTGGTTTATAGTGCATCCAACCATCGTGCAGTACAGTAAACTGGTTTACAGTGCATCCAACCATCGTGCAGTACAGTAAACTGGTATCACAGTGCATCCAACCATCGTGCAATACAATAAACTGGTATCACAGTGCATCCAACCATCGTGCAATACAATAAACTGGTATCACAGTGCATCCAACCATTGTGCAGTACAGTAAACTGGTTTACAGTGCATCCAACCATCGTGCAATACAGTAAACTGATATCACAGTGCATCCAACCATCGTGC